TGGAGAAGCAAAGTCTCTGGGGAGACATCATTGTGTCCTTTCAGTATGGGGCAGCCTGATTTGGTGGGTGGCAACCCTGCCCATGGCAGGGCATTAGAACTAGGTGATTTTAAGGTCCCTTTCAACCCAAACCATTCTATGATTCTATGTTTTTAAATGTGCATACATACCTATATGTAAATAGGTACATATGCATGCACATAGAGATGTGTACGATATTTATAAATATAGTATATAAACCATATTTATAAATATTCATAAATTTGTTAGGTGCAGTATTTACTGTTCTGATGGTTTTCAGGTAAAATTGTTGTAGGAAGCGCTACATTACCAATTTTATAACTTCATTTTACCAAGGAAACCTTTCATAGATGTGTCTTCTCAGAATTTTACAGACTCTGGAAAGTACAGGAGGGAAGTGAGAGCGTGGTTGTTCCCATACGGCCAGACTTCTTTTTCCTCCTGTCCCAGTTTCTGTGCCCCATACATGCTGTTCCTGTTGAATTTCTCACTTTCTCAGCTGTCAGAATCTTACTGAATTCTGGCATTTCTGCAGGGTTTCCCTGTACACCATGAAGTATACTTCTCTTTTGACCCAGAGCTCACATTAATGCCAGTCAGACTGTCATTGATGAGCTTGAGTTGCTGACTTGGTGTAAAATAGGACCCCAGTGAAGAGTAAGGTGACTCAGGGGAAGAATGTTTTACATGTGAGCAACTGCCATATAGTTTCATTAGACATTATACAGCCAGATGGAACTACAAGCAGAGAAAAAATACAGCTTTCAGATTAAATTGGCTTGAGCCTTCTGCCAGTATTTGAAATACAAGTTTTCATTTTACCTTTCATCTCTTTAGAATCTTTAATTTTCTGCTGACTACTGACTTCAAATGGCAGTATATCACAGTAGCATTTAAGGACTTTTCTTGTTCAATTGATAGCAGCAGACAAGTCTCAAGGGACCTGCTTGTGTCCAAAGACTTGCTCTTACTGGAATTCAGAGCTTTTCTTGGATGATGATGCTTTGTTTTAAGAGTTTCAGCTTCCTTCTTTGAACCCTGTTGTCTTTGAATTGTAGCAGATAATTGAAATCCTGCATAGAGTGGTAGGAAGGTCTGAATGTTATAAGTGAGTTTACTGAGGATGTTGTTGGAATAATTTGATTTTAAGGTGATAGAGAAGCACATTAGAAAAAAACTTCTGAGTTGTAGTACTTGAGATCAAAAGTATTACATCCACTTGAAATGTGTTTCTAGGGAATTTCAGACAGCAGTGTTATTGTCCCTGGAAGTTCAGTTCTTTGTGTCTGTAGGGGAACTGCTAAATCACAGCCTGAATCTCTGATTGACCACCTGAGGCAAGCAATGAGTCAGCCGTGGGAGCACAGGTGAAGACAATTCTCCTGTGCTACTGAAAAAGGTGGAGCCTGGCTCCACCTTTCCTAGACCCCATTTAAGAGCTGACTACCAGTAGGGAAGGATCTTTTTTGGACATTGCTCCTCTTGGAGTCTTCTCAGTGAGTCCAGAATAATGGTGAGTTTTCCCTCTGTTCTTCTTTGGTGTGAAATCTTGTTTAGCCTAATTTTCCTGTATATTTCTTAATTATGAAATCTGTATGTTCATTGATTACATGGTGTCATAGTGGATTTTTTTATCAGGTTTTCTTAGCTACAGGTGTTCTGTGGTTACAGAAGGTAAGTTCCTGAAAAGTGAGTGAGTAGTCTTAAGTAAGAATCCTATTTGAGATTCACAGCTGAATCAATCCTCCCGGTATTAAGGTTTAAGCACCCTAGCACCCTGTCTTTATTTTAATTTTGTTGCTAGTTTAGATAACCATACTAGTACGCTAGTAACTTTTTTTTCTTTAGTAGAATCTGAGAGCAAATCAGCTCTCTCTGGTATTTGTTTATCTCTTGCAAGCACTGGGAGGGAGGGGGGAGAGTGAGTTTATGTTATGAAGTGAAACTACTAAAATCTCAGTAAAAGAAAAAAAATGCTGACTGCATACATTATTATTGTTGGAATAGGAGTTTCCAATTGAATTTTTTTGCAATCAGTCCCATGGTTTGATTTTATTTTATTTTATTTTTTTTTTAAGTGTTACTGAAGTTATTTATAGTGTTATAGACTGTGGCTTACTTAGCTCAGTGGAAAAAGAGTAGGCTAAGAAGTGGAAAAACTAAAAACCAATCAAGCCATATTATGATAATCTTGCTCTTCAACTATATATGTATCTCTTAAAGATTTAGCGTCAGCTCAGACAAGCTACCACTGGGGCCAATAGTACTGAATCTTTGTCTTGATATATTGAGGGTTTGTTAGAGCTTTGCCCATTTTATTTGGCTTTTTGATGTTTATATGTAGCTTGATTCAGGATACTGCCTTTCTCCAGTGTTCATTAGTTGTAGTGGCCTTTCTAAATCATGTCTTTAGGGAATGGTAGTGGTTGTGAGAGATGGTAGAGGAATAGAATTGCTATGGGACACTGCTTTCTGCTCTGACTCAATCTTCTTCCCTCTTTTTTTCGCTGCTAGTGTTAGATTCCCATGCATTTGCCCCTGGAGAGACACAATTGCACTAGTTAGTTATACAGCACTTCAAAGTACTTGTAAGAATAAAATATCCTGCTTTTCTTTATCAAATACATGTCTGTTATGCTTTTATTTTTTTCACAACTGGATTTTTTTTTTTTTTCCATTCTTGTAAAAGGTAGTGCACTGAGATTATTGGAGTCCAAAGACCTATCTTTGTAGAAAGGCACATTTGAGCGAAGGCATTCTTCAGCTGATTTCTAGGCCTGTTTGTAATGAGACATACTCTGGTGGAAAGAAGTGGTGTTTTAACTCTGGTCTCTAAAGAGTCAAGATTACTTACAGCAATACTTCTCCAGTTTGTGTGATCAATATATCCTCTGTATTTGTCCAGTGTTAATGACGTAGACATGTCACTGGCACCTAGGCTCTAGAAAAATAGTATTTTGCCTTGAAGTAAAGCAAAGCTCAGGGAAATTTTCATGTGAGGAGAAAGGTAGAAAACTGGGGAAAAAAGTCAAAGATGCTGAGAAGCAAGGAGGAAACAAAAGGTTTTAAGCGTTGCTTTGTATGCTGTTTTTCTTTCTGTTGATTGGTGAAAAGATGCTTTTTTTAGTTGGTCAGGATCTGCTGGTGAAATTTTCTTAAGATAGTGTGGAGAGCACAATCTCAAAATTTTGCATGAGAATAGAACCTACTGGTATTTTTAAAAAATAAATGTAGAAGCACTTAAAATATATCATAAATTCTGTAATTTTAATCTGTCTTTAATTTTAAAACTAAATGCATTTATCTTTTCTCTAACCTATTCAGTACTAAAGGCCATATATATTTCTTTGTCTAAAAATCAAAATGTAATACAGGGAATACAGGAAGTCTCCAGTCTTGCAGAGATGACAGGAATCTTTCTCCTCTTCTCTATGTCTTTGTAAAGATTAATTGCCTCTTCAAATCCATGTGTGTTTTGCCTTCAAAGAATTTTGTCTTTGATCCTTCTCCTTAGCTGCCCATCAGTGCTGGATTTGTACAAGAGGAAGCCTAAGCTGGATTTGCTTTTATAGAGAGGAAGCTCGCTGTGTGAAAGAGTAGATCTTGTGTGCTTTCTCTTGCTCATGGAGTATTATTGGATTAATGCTAACCATGGGCTCCAATGTGTTCTGGAGGGAATCTTAGCAAGATGGACATAGTTTTGTAGTCCAGTCAGTGCTCCACCTGTCTTGATGTTCTGTAATCTTAGGAAGGAGATGAAGCCTACTTTTGTAGCATTTTTTTTTATTTTAGGAGGTCATATTATTGTTTATAGAGAGAACTTCCTTAACTGTTTATTGGAAATTGAACCATTGTTACAGCTAGAGTGAGCAAAGGTAAACAAGAAGAAGCAGATGTGAAAAGAAATGCCACCTCTCATTATATTTTCATAGATGTCTAATAACAAGGGATATGGAAATAAGTGTTCTGTTCCAACCCATAAGAAAAACCACTAGCAGCAAATTAATAAAATAGTCAGCATATTTTTCATGATTTGTAATTCCTTTTCTTTGTGTTTAGTTTGCCCAGCTATATGCTGAGCTGTTCTACTCAGGGTCATAGGCAGACTTCATTCTCTACTCATAGAAGAAATGGGAAATGTGAATGCTTGAAAAAAGACAGAATATTTCGGTTGTTAGCCCTGCATTGTATGTTTTCTGTCATTCACTCAGACTGATTTTATTGAATTAATGATCATGCAATCAAAACTATTTTAATCTATATGCAGTGCTACAGCATGCAATGATAAATTCATTACACTGGATATCACACAAAAAAATACATGGAAGAAGGAAAATTAGTAAGTAACTCTAGGTTATCTAGTGGAAAATACAGTGTTCTCTATTTGTCTTTTCCTAGTTTAACCTGGAACTTAAAGTGTTACTGACTGTATTTAAAGTAAGATTGAGATTTATTTTTTCATATATTTAGCTGCAGAGAAAATCCCATCTTCTGCTGCTGATATAATCCTATTTTTTCAAACTAAATTAAAAGAAACCTACGTTATAATTCTTAAGGTCTTAATGTCTTTCTTCATGAGCTTAAAAAAATTGGAAAATGACTTTACTGTAGTATTGCTGAGTTCAAATTTGCCTTTTTTTTTTTTTAATGGAAGTTTTCTAAATTTTTCTGTCTTACAAGATGTTTCAAAACTTATTCAAGTGGAAGAATGTGTGTGCTGTGTGTGCCACAGCATACAATTTTAATTTCATGGGGGCAATGGTTTTTTTTGTTCTTTGCCAGGTCTTTTATGAACATGCTGCTAGATCCCCTGTCTAATAGCACCTGCTGTGCTAGTGATGGGGGTACGTATAATGGTATGTCTGCCTTGGGAGATTATGGGTATGGTGAGGGCAGGGGACCAACAGTGAGGACAATGTGTATGTATGCTTTCCAAATTGCTAGCGACACCCCTAGCTAAATTGTACCATTAAAAGTAGCATGCTGTTAACACTGGAAAGTAGAAAAAGAGGATTACAAAAATAGGATACATGTTAATGACTGTGTGTTCTCTCTGCTTCCTGACAAAAGTAAAACAAGAATAATAACCACTCTAAGATGGAGCAAGAGATGCAGGTTTCTCAGGAAGGTAACCATTCCTAGAACTTGGAAAGAAATGGTGTCTCTTGTAGCCTCTGTCACCTTAGGTTTCAAGCAATATGGTGCTAGCTTTATGCATTTCACCTTACAGGGGACTAGTTATTAGGGCAGATGCAACCAGGGAGTTGACAACCTCCTACGCACATTGACTAGACTGACATTTGCTTAGCGGTAACAAGCTGCTCTAGGATGGTGCCATGGGGGCCCTTGGGCTTGATTTAAGAATGCTGACACCAACTGCTTGTTGTTTTATATTTTAGAGCTGTCAGGGAGATAACTGATGTCAGCATAAAATTATTTGTTAGCTTTAAATCACGGCTAAAGTATGAATCTATTGACAGCAATAAGCTAGAGATCAAATTGTTAAACTCCTCAATAGGGAGAAAATTGACAACTGAATGAAGTGCATGTACTCTTGTATAAGAGGTATAATATGTAGCTGTAACCCATCCTATGCTTTCACTGTGAAGCCCATGTGTATGATTCTATCATTTAATATCCTAGTACAACAGCTGCTGTTATTGCCCAGTGGGTTTTCTAGCAAAATGGTGTGTTTCAGTTTCCATTGTCTTCCCACTGCACTATAATTTGGCTGGTTTGGTATGGGTAGTATTCTTGTCAAACATTATAAATAAAACTGCAGTTACATCTGTCTTCACTAGCAACCTTCTTGAAAATTCTGTGTTGAGAGGACACTCTTAAGTAGAAAAATAATAGCAAGGGGTTAGGCCCATGGTGAATATTTGAGGCATATTATGTTTGAACCCCAAAAGCCTGATTTTTTTTTTTTTTTTTTTGTCTTCATTTTTGTGGTTTTATTGTGGTGGAAATTCATTACTGTACAGTAAATTCAACTTGCAACCTTCAATTGTAGACAAAAGATTAGTCTACAACTAAGGCTACTTTTTTTTTTCCAATGAATACTAGGTACAAATATGACTATACGCTGATCTACAGCATCTCCCCTTTCTTTCCCTTCTCCCAACCCCCACCCTTCTAAGCCCGTTGCATGGATTTTTGGGAGCTTCAGATTCTCTAATTCTGTCCCAGTATATACCAATTGGAAGCATTTAGTCATGATTAAAGCAGATTGAATGAGATAATCCCTCTGAGTGAGCAGCTTCAAAAAGCTCAAACACAGCTCTTTGGGGACATGAACTGACTCAACATAAGCTAATTCCTGCAGCATCTCCCATGTGGTGTGCTATGCACCACTTGGATGTTTTGTTTATCATGTTCCATTATATGTGTTTTTTTTAGGAACTGAATTTTTAAGGAAAACTTTAGCAGTTACATGCCTCGGTTGTACAGTTTAGAATACTTTAGACTGTGCAGTAAAATTATTACTTCAGGAAGAAATCAGAACAAAGATGTTTCTAATAGAGGCAATGATGCATTGAGTGCTGACCTCTGAAGGAAGGGTAATAGTATGCAAAGTACAGGAAATAGGATTGCTTTACTTTCAGAAATATAAGGCTATGATTGGTCAGTATCACACTCTCCAAGCCCCACTGCCTGGCCTCATGTTTAATACTTTGCACTTTTTCCAAGTTACATTAGAATGGTAGCCAAGAGTTTGAATCTGAGGCCCTGTAAGTGCAGCTGCAATTATGAATGCTGTAATGTTGATGTCTTTTTCTTGTAAAGCATTTTCAGTTGAGATTACAGAATTTGTCATTTGTTTATATTTAAATTACTTACTTCAAATGTCTTGTAACTATTCCTCTAGGGGACTTCAACTTCAAGCTCTACAAGCTCTGAAGGTATAAAACCAACCTCCCCCCCAAAAAAACAAGTTGCTTCCTTCTGGCTTTCTCAAAATTTCTTGTAGGATCGTTATTTTTTTCTAATCAACTGATTTCTGTTGGGTATTTAAAATCTATGTGTACTGATTTCTCTCCTTTTATTTTCATCTGAATACAGTCTTGTCATCTAAACAGATAGGAGCAAGGAAAGTGGTGTTCAGATTTTACCTGGTTGGTTTTAGCTTGAGATAGATGCTCTGCATCTGTCAATCTGTCACCTGAGGCAGAAGACTGGGAAGAATGAAAGGATGCCTCCACACCTTACTGTAGAACAGGAGTGTGATGTGCTTCAAAAGTGAATCTTGAGATTGTCCAGTTGTTACTCTTGTTAACAGTTTGATGTTAGGATGTAGGAGGTATTTTCCTTTCAGAAGAAATCAAAACATACTGCAGAAGAAAACCTGACATGTCCCAGCAGCAAGTGGAGCTTCAAAAATACTGGCCCAGGCTAGGTATAATTTAAAGTAAATTTATCAAAATAATGTAGTTTGTGGGTATAAACAATTGCCAATCACCAGTCCTTCTGTTCTACAGATCTACTCCTGTTAATTTACATTTCTTACTGGTACGGACAGAGACTGAGATATTTAAGATGACACATTAACTGTGAAAGGGGAGTGGTGATAGTGTTACATTTTTTCCAATGTGTGGAATTTGTATTCTGATGGTAAAAATGAAAGCAAAATCATAGTTCATATATACAAAATAATAATAATAAAAAAATCTAATCCTACAGTAGCAAAAATTCTGAGGACTGAAAGTTGATATTGCTGTGGTCTCTAAAAAGAAATACTTTGACATGTTAAATTTGGACTGAGAATAAATTACAGACTAAAGTTTGAAGCAACTGGAGAGATCCCTGGCACATGCCCAACTGGCAAGTGTTCATACATTTCTTTAATTCAGCTCAGTCTGTTTTCCCAGCCTTACAGCAGAAAGATGGTTACTGAGTCTGGGACAGCTTACATGTGATTGTGAATATCTTGGTCAGGTGCCACCTACCTCCATCTTTACGGAGGAAGAGCTTAACACATTTGTGATGAGGTAAATTCTGTTGCATTTTGCTGTAGCTTACCAACAAAGAAAGAACTGGCTATTAGCTTTAATAGTTGCATAATTGAAAATGAACTGACCTCTTTCACATGCTTGAAAATAAAGCAATCTTTTATACTAATAGAATGGGTTTCAGTCATGTCTTAAGAGTGCTGTTAGTCTGAAGTAATATTTGCCAGTTCATACCACCTGCAATTGTTATTCAATGTATTAGTGACACTTGTTTGAATCTGGGACTTGTTTGCCCAATATTCTTACCCTAGACCAGAGATGACTGAAAACTCAGTCACCCTCAGGAAGTTGAATTCTGCCAACCAGGGAGTGAGATATTGATACTTAACCAATACTAAGCTCACTTTGCAACGTGAAGGGAAGAGTCAGAGTCAATGCCAGACTTTTTCTTGTTGTAAAACAGAAAAGATAGAAGAGCAACTTCAGCACACCTGTTTTTTCAAGATTTAAGCATAGGAAATGCTGTTTGTGTCAATTTTATCTAAATTTGAATTCAGCTCTGACAAAGTACATCTCTGTACTTCATATGGTTTTGAAAGACACTTGAAATTTAGGAGAGCGAATAAGAGAAGGGAAGGGATCCTTTGAAAAGGAAAAATACCTTTGCTAGCACTCTCATCATATAAACATAATTCCCATTATGTGGCTGAATTGATGAGGAAAGAATACCTACTTTAAGCAGTTTCACTCTTTCACTTAGAGGACTACCAATTTCTTGTATTTGTCTTTGATACATTGTAGGGTCATTACAGAATGAAATTACTTATCAGATGGAATTATCTAGGACTTTCCAATTTTGAATAATGATTATCAGTATTTCAAGGAGACACAAAGTTAATACTTACATGGTAGAATTTGTCAATGAGATTGTTACATGTCAAGGTGAATAGATTTGTGAAAGAGAAGAGGAAGTACTAGTGAGACTGAAGGCAATGGGAAGAAAAGTTTGGAAGCCCTGGTCTGGACAAGAGCTGTTATCTCTATATATAAAAGTTTCATTTTGCACTTGGAAGAGTCAGACTTGTTTTAATACCAGAATAAATCAGTTGCTAAACTGTCTAAAAACTGTCTATGCCTGGCATGTTGATATCAACACTTACTTGAATGGGTGTGGAATTCATCCCACATACATGGACCATTCATCATGAACAAGCAAATACGTTCCAAAGTCTAGGGGAAAATAATGTTACCTTAAAAATTTGTTTTCTTCACAGTTTTTCTCTTCATCATGCAGTCCAGACGCTCTATAAAGGCAGAAAAATGGGAATATTCTTTGTATTGTTTTCTTGAAAGATAGAGTCATTCTCTTTATTCTCATCTTGAGGATTAAAGTCAGATCTGACACCAGGTTGATTTTTGTCTCTTTAAAACTACAGGAAGATGAGACAAATATCAGAAGTCCCTAGTTTTTACATGGTGCATGTAGCAAAGTCACAAGCTGAAAGCTGTTCACTTTGTAGAAGGAAACAAGGACTGTTCATAGTCCTGTGAGATACATAAACAAAGTTATTTGATGGAAGAAGGCGGTTGATTCTTTTAAGAATGTTATGTAGCCCACTGATAAAGAACTATAGGTTAAAATAAGCCAACATCAGACTTCAGAATATGTTTTTCCATAATGTTTTGGAACACTGAAGATGCTGTTCTGACTGTGCCTAATTTCCACTTATTATAACAGGGCTTCTGAAAAACAAACACTTTAAGGTGTCTGTATGAAGATAGTCGTATCAGCTCTTTAGCTTTACTAGATGGCATCTTGTTTTGGCAGAAGTATTTATAAAATAGGGGGGAAAAAGCCTCTGTCTTCCTTCAGCACAATTTTTAATATGATGTATGATAAGAGAATTGTAGCCATGGGAGTTGAATCTACTGAATACCATTAGACAACTGTTAGTTGAATTTTTACCAATAAATGGACTGTAATATTACCTGTAATATCTATTCTTGTAAAAGTGAACTTTTTAATTATAGTTTTTATCATGTTGTTTCTTGCCTGAAAGATCTTGATAAAGGCTCTACATGCATTGTTTAGGAAAAGGTTCTGTATAGGGCTCCATTAATAATGGATATCATCCATCTGTCCCTCAACAATGAATTTTCATGATCTCATTGTATTGAATGTTACGGCTAAAGCTCACAGTTGTCATATGTAGGAAGAAGAATTTTCCCTAGTAGATTAGACCATTGGGCCATGAAATCAGGAATACTGCCTTCACCAGCAGCCAGTTTGTTGCTCTTCATATTAAGGATACTATTGTGATCAGTCAGTATGCAGAATTTTCTCCAATTGAAATGAAAGCAGAATGATAGTGCTCTTTCATTTCCCTCCAGGATATTAGGGTACATTTATGGGAACTTCTCATGTCAGAGACAATACCACATGCTCTGCGTATCTTGAAGTGGAAATGAAAAATCTGTAGAAGGCAAGCAGTACAGGCTGTTGCATTGTACAGACATTCTTCTTTGTAGTTCTTTGAGATCTTCTAGTCACTGCATAAGTACCTGAATCCCTTGGGCAACTTTGACTTCTGTGACAGCAGTTGAGTAGTAGAACAGCCTGTGCATTAGTGTCCGTGGCAGGATTGCATAAACTTCATTTTCACATGCGTAAAATAATTCTTCAGCGATTTTTTTCATTCACTTTATACATAGTGTTTTCTCCACTGTCACATTGGCATGCTGTATTTCTGCTTCTGTGATACTGATTGCTCCCTGTTGTCTATCCATGATCTGTTTATTGTATTATGGAATGGCTGATACAGGATTCTGTTAATTACCTTCTCAGAGTTTGGATGACATGGAAGATTTTGCAGAAGTCCTATCATATTTTAAGATCTTATCTCCACTGAAGCCAGCAAAACCTTTACCATTTGCCTTTGCAGGATTGAGTTATTGAACTAGGAATTTTATCCCCTAAGGCAGTTACTTTGTGATGGTTTTAAAAATGCTGCTCCAAATGTAATGCCTCCTGTTTTATTTTGTTGGCCTGTTTTGTTGGAAGTAGACATTGGTAGTAGTGCAGCAGTAGAGGGTGATCCTTCTCACCAGTGTCCCATTACATTTTGTTGCTGTGTGACAGATGGCAACAGAGGGGCAGTCTGACAAAATGATGTCTGAAATAGAAGTGTATGTGAAACAAAGGTGCGTCATTGAATTCCCCCTTTGTGGAAGAAATTGCACCTTCTGACACTCTTTGACACTTGCTGAGCATTGATGAAAACCAAACAGTGGCTGATAGCCCAGGGAGGTGGTGGATAGTGCATTTCAGCAATAGTGGCCATGACAGTGGGTAACCTCCACTGGTATAGGTTTTTGCTAGTGTCAAATGTAGGCTCCTGTTCATTGTCACTGAAAAATGCCTAGCTAACAGTAGTGGTTCTGTTGGTGGAAGTTAAAAAAAAAAAAAAAAAAAAAAAAAAAAACAAAACTGTTTTGCAGCTGGAGAATTTGCTCTATTGAGTAATGTCTGTGTAACTTAAATGTGTTAAATGCATGATATATTCATTTATTTTACATTAACGAATGTTGAGGGAAGAAGGATGATTCATGGTTACACCATGAACACTGGCAGTTTCTTGTTTTTTTACCATCTTTAGTAGGCAATATTCATATTTATATAGATCACATAATTACTCTAAAAATAAGGATTATGAAGTTGTCCAGTACAAAGGTCACAGTACCTATGTATGTACTTTGATTAATCAGTAATTTGTACATGAAATGGGGCTAAATTAATTGGAAATGTTCTTACAAGTTTTGCTTTGTGCTTTTGCTTGCTGTTCCATTGTATTTATCTGTTTCATATCAAAAGCATTTCTAAACACAGCAACTCTCTTTTAATATATTTATTACGATTATTTTAGAAGGACAGTAAACTCATTCTAAATATGTATTTAGGAACTTCATAAAGGAAGGTGTTTTTTTTTTTAAAAAAAAAAAAAATAGTGCATTTCTTAAATAGTTAAAGGCAGTCTCATTAGGTTTACTTGCAGTGATTACAGGAAATAGAGGTAAGCGACTGACAGTCTTGCTGCTGGAAACTTTGTGAAGATCACCTTCCAAATAAACATCTCTATGTATTTTGGTCTATACTTAATCTGCCTTTTTGCATGTTTGACCCAGTTTGTAATGGTCTAATTAAGCTTGTACTCTGAAAAACATCATGGGAAGATAGAAATGATTTTCTGCATTATAGTTCAGAAGATATGATAACTTGGTAGCTAGTGCCCAAAGGCTTCAGAAAAATAAACATTATAAAGTAATGTGGTAATTACAGAATAACTGGAGCTTCATCAAGTAATATCAAATTTGAAATTGATAGAGTTTCCAGCAGCAAAGAGATCCTCTGATGGAACATCTCAGTGTATATTTGAAGTGTCAAAAAGAGAGTTATTACTTAATGTATATCGGAGGCTATATAGAGCCCTGAGACGGACTGCACTGGCATTGAAATATGTTGAGCTGGTGCTAGGAATTAGCATTGTAATATGATATTCCCATACCTAGAACTATAGGTTGTTATCCTGGTCCAGCGAATTGGCTTAAATGCTACCACTATTCCACAATCGCATTTCAGTTCTCAAGATTATGTGAGCATCCTATTTACAGACGCTTCTGTTTGATTTTTAGATGTAAATGTATCCTAAGGGGAAAAAAAAAAAAAGAAATAAAAATCAATGGAATTTCTAGATTTCTAAAATGAGTTTCTCATTAAAAAGGAAGGCTTATAATACTATCTCTTTCACTAATTTTACTTCTTTCTCATATTTGTGTCCTTCTGTAATTGTTTGGTTTTGGATGGCGCTTTCTTTAGCTCACTCCAAAGAAAACAAGAGCAGAATCCAAGTTGTTGTTTAAAAGCTGCCCTTTCTTTCCTTGCCTGATGTTTTTTAGCTAGGTAATGATTTTGTATTCTGAAGTACTTTGAGCAGAGTGGAGTTTACTGCTTACAATGTAATGTTCAATCTATTTGAAAGTAAAGATAAATCACCAAGTCGGGTGGGCTCTATGATTGGGTTGCTGTCATTCACACTGTCAAAAACAAGCGGCATGGCCTGTCATACCAGTCCTTGCAGGCAAAGCTGACAGGTGAACTGCCCCCAGGGCTCAGTGGGAATAGCCCTCCCATCCTATTCCAAGGCTACTCACTCAGGAACAACTGAGTGATTAAATAAACATTCTTTTCCTCTGCTGTTCTCAACTTTCCAATAGCTAAATCTACTTTAAATGTATGGAAACATTTCTCTAATAAAAAGGTGGCCAACTTACAAAAAGGTGGGACAAATATGTAAATAAAGCAGTAGACAATTGCAGTATGTGGTATTTTGCCTTAGGGAGTGTCTTTTAATGATTTGATGTGATGCCTTTTGCAGTTTATCGTGGGTGACATTTTGAGGACATACACAGTTCAGAGAACAAAGAACAATAAAACCAGGGTATTTTCCAGAATGCAGTTTATATGCCCTCCAACTTATAAACATTTTCTAGCCAACAGAAGTAAAGGGCTACTGTATATTATTCTCCCTGAAGGAGAGAAGAAAAATACCTTTCCTGAGGAGAGTGATGTTAACTATGTGATAATCAGCTGGTGGTAACCATACACAAGACCATTCTTTTTTTTTAAAAAAAAAAAAAAAGTCAGTGGTTTGCGGGCTGGTTCGGCCCAGTTCCGTGACTAGCAGGGCAGAGAAAAAAAAATTATTTTATTAATAGTAATTTTTCTGTTTTTCATATAAAAAAATATTTTTGTTTTTTAATTTTCACTTTGTGATTTTTTTTTTATATTTCCTCTTTTATATTTCCTATTTCATTTTTTCTGATCTTCATCTCAATCTTTAAAAATTACCTATGTATCATTTATGTATACACATAGATATACTTTATATGTATGTGTGTATATATGTAGATATATGTTTGCTTATGTAATAGAACACTTTTCTATGTGTGATATTGTAGTCTTCAGCTTGGAGCTCCAGGTAGTCTTAGATGCACCCAATTCTTAGGTTAGTGTATGCCTTCACAGTGCAGATGAAAATCTTGAGCTTGGCTTGCTGGCTTCTTAAAAAAAAAAAAAAAAAGTCTCCCAATTGCATTGGAGGGGTCCACTGGCATTCTCAGTGTGGATATTCTCAGGATTTTGTTTTCAGTCTTGTCATCTGTATGCTTCAGCCTTTGAAAAGGAAAACTGTTCCTATTTTTTTCTGAAAAGAAGAGAGCATACAGCTGAAATACATATGCAATTCTATGTGTACACAGACATAGTTTTCTGTACATGAGTCTTCACAATGTGATATATTTACAACAAGTTTACAGTATTTCCCCTAAATCTGTATCTACAGATAACATTCTGACAGCACTGTACAAGTTGTACTCTGTAATCACATCTGAGTCACAGCACATCTGCTACATTGTGCAATACGTTCAAAGGCTGTTTAGATGTTCCCAATTTTTAAAACTCTTTTGTATTATGTTAATGTACATACAATTTCAGAGTTTCTCACTTGTGCTTACACTGTATCAGGATTACATTATTGCTTACATTATTTTCAGTATCCATTCCAAAGAAATTTTTCTTCATTTGTGATGGACAGAAAACTAAGAAAATTAAACTTAAGTCATCCTTTTAGTCTTGATGTGATCAGGGGCTGATAGTGGCAACAGGCATGTAGTGGAGTTGCAGCTTTGTGTCTTTGACAAGTAGAAACCATGACTCTGATTCACTAGAAGCAAGATCAATGCAGAAACCATTCAACACACTCACTAAATACATGCCCCAAAGTGGGTTATG